TTTTTTTTTTTTTTTTTTTTTTTTTTTTTGTGCTGGCGCTGCCCGTAACCCTGCCCGGGGGCATGCCCGGCCGGGCACCCGGGCGTGTACCCGGGCATAAGTTGGGTGCCCGGGGCGCCCGGAAAAACAGCCTAGGAAAATACTTCCCAAAACAATTTTTTTGGGGTTGGGGCTTGAACAACCCAAGAAAAAAGACAAAAAATCCGGACCGGATGTCCGCCCGGACATCCAGATGCGGACGGTCTGGACTGGGATCTGGACATCCGGAACATGACCATGGTTTGAACAACATTTCATCAGGTCAAACGACTGAGATCAGCTGCAAGAGGGCGTCAGAGGAATCTATTTGTCAAGTTTGTGTGTGTGTGAATGTCATGATTGATTGATAGGTGGTTTTTGCACTGAGTGGTTATGACTGACTGATTTTGTGCAGTGTGAACCAGAAGAAAGGATGATGCAGTACTTTCTCTTTCCCTCTTTTGGAAACAAGGACAGACAGAGTCCACAGACTAATGACAAATAATGGCAGTGGTTGTTGGTCTCTGCTCAGAGGAGGAGGTCCTGGAGATGGTTTCGGGAGACGAGAGAAGAAGGAAGATGGGTCTAGTGTCTCTGGGAGGAGTCTTCTCTCTGGGCAGAAGCATGCTCCTCCTTGTCATCCTTTTGAGTGCTGGGTCCTGGGAAATTCACTGTGCCAGAGCCATCGGAGAGGACACTTATGGTGGTGAGAGAGGGCAGACCAGGCAGAGAAAGCTTCAAGAACAACCGAGTTCCCTCCGGATCACTAATGGAAATCTCCTGAAGAATCTTGGCAATGTTCTCTCCTCTAGAAGTGACAGAGCCGCTAACGTATACTATCGGATCTTAGCAATTGTTGTTTTGCGAGATGAGGAGACCATTTATTACTCTGAAAAGTTGATGACACCGTCTGTCGCTAGCCCAAGCTTCTTCACGACTCTGGTTAAGAAGGCGGAACCCATAGGTCCCGGCAACTCCGGGTACAACATCACGTACGTTGCCGGGCCATGGACTAAGGATGCCAAGCTTGGGCCAGATGCCAGCTTTAGAAGCTCCTTCTCGGCAAGCAATGCGGTAAATGGGTCTGATGTGCGGGGCCTGTTGATGCTCAATGACACTGCTATAGTCGTTTCAGACATGGAAAACAACGCTCTATGGACGCTAGATGTGATCTCTGGAAGGGGTGTGAACCTTGTTAAGAATATAATGTTGCCAATACAGATGGTCATGCATCCGCGACAGGATGCCCTCTTTGTGTCCACTAACTCTCTCATCCTCAAAGTCACACTGAGTACAACTTGGCGCCAGTCTGCGGTACTTGCAGGCACCGAGGAGGTTGGGTATGTGGATAGTATGGAAAAGGACTTCGTCCGGTTTCAGGATCCAATGATTGGACCTCAGGCCATTTCCCGGGATGGGAGCAAATTGTACGTTGCTGACTACTGGAATAACGTGGTGAGGCGAGTGGACACTGTCACAGGGGCCACAGAAACAATTGCCGGAGCACCCCAAATGTCACAGGGGCCGCCCAGACTTCCCAGCCCTGAGGGTGGATTTAACAGATCTCGCAGTCTGGCTTTGGATTCTGAAGGATGCAACCTGTTTGTCTCTGAGCGAGACAGAGGGCGCATCCATTGGCTGCGCTTCGACAGGCCAAGCGGGAAAGTAATTGCCATTGAGACAGTTGCCACGCTTTTGAAACCTGACGGCTCAGCAGAAGCAATTATGTCTCTGTATCTCACCGATTCAAATAGGTATCTGTATGCCGGCACTGGCGATGGTCAGATTTTAAAGCTCGAAGTGACTACGTCTGTCCTTCAGTGTGCCTCCACGACGAGGTTGTCTCCAAAGGTCGTGATTGCTGTGTCAATGGTGCTGTTTCTAGGTGGAACAGTCTGGTTGTTCTGATCTTGATCTTTCGACAGTGCGGCTGGGGCCGGTGGCGGAAGACTGTAGGGACCTCATATTGGACCCGGTTGCAGTTGCGGAGCGTCCTTGCTGGTTATCCCTCTCCACCAACCCATCCGGTCACCGGATTGAGTGCAATCTTTGGAACTGATGCAGAATGGATGGCTGCCAATTACATCAGTGTGTTTTCCTGGCCGGTGATTGACAAGGCACTAAGGGAGGGTTGCTGCCTGGCTGGCAAGAGTGGTGGGTACGGTGATGTGTACAGATGCTCCTTGATGGTGGGAAAAACGATGATGGATGTTGCCATCAAGGTGATGCGAGGGGAACTGGACGCAGTCAAACACAGACAATTCCTGGCAGAGGTGAATACACTCAGTCATGTGCGCCACAAGAATCTGTGCAAGCTGTTGGGTTATTGTGTGGAGGAAAACAGGTGCATCCTCGTATACCCTTTTGTTTCAGGAGGGAGTCTGCATGATCGCCTGCACAGAACAAAACCGATGGAGCTGCAACAACAGTCACGGGAATCTAGCGCCGTCCCAGGATCCAATGACGATGGATGGGAACCGTTGGATTGGACAGAAAGGCTGGTGATCGCAAGGCAGCTGGCGACTTGCTTTAGATATCTTCACCATGAACTGGAGCAGCCCATCATATATCGCGACATTAAGAGCCAAAATGTCCTTCTCGAGGGTAAAGGTAAACACTTGAAGGCCTATGTTGCCGACTTCGGGCTGGCAAAGCTTGGGAATGTGCGACATCCTGACAATTCAATCTCCTCTGGCACAACGACGGTGGCGACCCTAATGCAAGCAGGCACTCCGGGGTACATGGCGCCCGAGTACGCATATGATGCAAAGCTGACTTTGTCAAGCGATGTTTTCTCGTTTGGGGTGGTATTGCTAGAGCTGCTAACTGCAAAGAGGGCAATCTTGAAGCTGGGCAAAGATGACACGATACTGCTGTTTTCGTGGGTGAGACAGAACCCACTGGTCTCAACTCTTGATCCACATTTACAAGTTTCTGTGATGCCAGAGGAACAGCCTGCAGTGGTGGATCTGCTGAACCCAGCACTCCAGTGTACGGATGAGCGGATATCCAGGAGGCCGTCAATGGCGGATATAGCAAGGGCGATTGAGGCAATATCAGCTCGATCAGCGCACCGGTAATGAAGGCAGGATGGCAATAAGCAGATCAGCTGACATCGAGGAGAGGGTTGTACCTTGGCCCCAGAAGCTTGCACTGCAGGCCCAGCCAGAGTTGCCCTGCACGACCGTCAATTGGTTGTGTGATTTACTCCCCAGATGACTTCCCTCCTGGGGCCACGGAAATACCCATGCTAAGGGAAGTCGCACCTGAAATGGGGCATGTGCAGAACTGAACAGAATGGAAGATAGGACGGGAAACTGCTCTGTCTGGGCATAAGACAATGACTAAATATGTTGCCGTATAGTTAGCCTTTGTCTATGTGTGAACCAGGTTAACATGGCTATTGCCATTGACTAACTATGTTGCCGTATAGTTAGTGTTTGTCTATGCGTGAACCAGGTTGACATGGCTATTGCCATTGACTAACTATGTTGCCGTATATTTAATTTTAGTCTTTGTCTATGCGTGAACCAGGTTGACATGGCTATTGCCATTGACTAACTATGCTGCCGTATAGTTAGTCTTTGTCTATGTGGAAATGCCCATGCTAAAGGAAGTGGCACCTGAAATGCCCATGCTAAAGGAMGTGGCACCTKAAATGCCCATGCCAAAGACTAACTGAATAGCATGGTTGACCTCCCTCCTGGGGGCATGGAAAACGGGACCACATATCCTAAACATCAATGTGTGAACCAGGTTGACATGGCTTCCTGCTGCTTGTCCTTTGGCCCGTTCCTTAAGCCGCAGCCACAGGGGGCGACGGAGACCAATAGGGAAGCTCCGCACACGGATGGCAACCGGTAAAATAGGAAAGTAGATAGGGATAGGGAGTTGGACCGGGGAGGCAGGGGGGGCAGAAAGACAAAAAAATCTGTTGTATGAAATCATGATAGGGAAACAGGGGGGGAGGCAATGTGGAAGGAAGCAGAGGATTGATAAAAGAAACCAAAGGGAGAAGGGGAAAGGTCGCAATTAAGGCAAGTATAACGTAGATGTCAAAGGACAAAGGGAAAAAGACTGGGAAAAGGCGGTAAGATAAAGGAAGGAGGGGAAAAAGGGGTAAAGGGACAAGTAAGGGGAGTACAACGTAGGTGGGCATATACTGCTATAAGCAAAGAATGAGAACATGAGTGCGGGAGGCAATGAACCGCTCAGCTGCACTCTCCACACAACATGCACAATGAAAGCTCACAGGGAGATTCCACCAAAGCCGGATATGGAACACTAAATCAGTGCAGCTCGGAAACTTCAATGAATACTCATATTGTACAAATTCAGAGTTCAGATGACCAGCGCTCATCAGCACATCCAACAACCACCTCAATCAGGTAGGTACCCAAGTATCCTCCGCTGCGTCTCTCTCTCTCCCTCTCTCTCTCTCTCTCTCTCTCTCTCTCTCTCTCTCTCTCTCTCTCTCTCTCTCTCTCTCTNCTCTCTCTCTCTCTCTCTCTCTCTCTCTCTCTCTCTCTCTCTCTCTCTCTCTCTCTCTCTCTCTCTCTCTCTCTCTCTCTCTGTGTGTGTGATTGCTCTCTCAATACTTGTATTGCTCTGGCTTTCTCTCTCTCTCTCTTCTCTCTCTTCGCTCCCTATCTGCTATCCGCTCTGCTTCAACTGCAACTTCAGCTATGGAAGCTATGGCCGCTTTCTCCTTCCTCAACCTTAGCTGGTGTGCCGCCAAGCAGGCCCTCTGGCGCACAGCCCAAGCTGTGAGGTCGCACACGCAACCAGCAGCGCTTCTGCAACTCACACATGACAATAGATGATGCGAGCTGCACTGTAGCAGCTATTAATAGTTGCTTGTCTTGGCCTYGGTTTSCTTCTGACCGGTACCGGTCRCMCRCRGCCTGTCTGCTGCATGAATTTTGGTGGCCCGGTACCTTCTGGACTTTTCCTGGGACGCTGCTGCAAAATTGGACTTTGGGCCTGGACTTCTCCTGTCAGGTGCTGGTTGGACTTTTACTGGTCTGCCTCTTCGGTACCAGCCCGACATCGACTTACAATGTTTCGGCCTCCTACGGACCTAAGGACCCTAACGACCCTACCTGGGACTCTCCTATTGGGACAGGTGGGACTGGGACTATCTGGGATTGGGCCCAACCGGGACTGGGACAATTTGGGACCCTGGAACTGGGACTCGGCTGTATGCAACGTGAAATCCTTCCTCTCCCGCTGGCTTAATTTTGAGGTCCTCCTAGAAAGTCGCTAACTTTACCGACCTACAATGTTAACTCCTCTGCATGCCCTCTCATAATAAGAAACTATGTGAGGGGCAGTCTCTATTAGTTCATCGATTGTAAGCCAGCGGTCTTCTTCAGGTTCTCGGTAAGCAAATCTGACCTTGTACTGACGCTGTGGTCTCCCTCTGCATCCTGTTCTATATGTCTTCTGCAATAACACGGTCTACATCATATTTGTCGTCCATGTCGGGTGGTATCATAGACCTTCGCGAGGGAAACTGATCGTTAGTGACAAAGGGAAGTAACTTAGAAGCATGGAAGAGCGGATAAGTGTGCAGATGAGGTGGAATATCGAGTGTATAGGAGGGACCATCTTTGCCAATGACATACAGAATCTGCTAAGGTCCTCTGTATGCGGGCAGCAACTTCTGCGATATCCCCCCCTCGGGAACGAACTCCTTGGACTTAACCCATACCAAATCACCGACAACAAACTAAGACGGTATGCGGTGTTTGTTAGCCTTCTCTACAATTTGGTATTGGGCCTTCCAAATGTTCTTCTGTACTCATTCAAAATCCTTCTCGTGATGTACAGCAAATTCCCTTGTACCGGGTGGCAGTCTCTGAATTTGATCGAGATTTAGACAGTCAATCTGGCGCCTAGGACGCCAACCTTTGTGCAGTTCATTTGGTGTGCGCGATGTGGCCAAATCCACAGAGTTGTTGTACGCACATGCCACTTTGGGAAGATGCTCATCCCAATCAGCTGGTCTGGTCTATGTACATATGCAGCACTTGCTGTAGCAACTTATTCATCTGGTCAGATTGTCCGTTAGTCTCTGGGTGCCTGCCTGATGACATAGTTAATCGTGACCCGTAGACTTTCATTAGTTGTTGCCAGTGCCCGCCTGCGAACCTCGTGTCTCTATCACTGACTGTTGTTAGAGCCTAGAGGGTGTCCGTAGTCCTTAACCCAATGATTAAAGAATTCCCTAATTACTAAGTCGGTTTTGCCTTTGCACGCAGTGGAATCAAAACATCAAATTTGTTAAACCTATCAACGAAAACCATAACCTGACTCTTCCCATTCCTACTCCTAACCTTAGTGTCCATGAAGTCTATAAACATGTAGTCTCCGGGGTCTGATGGGATAGGCAACAATTTTAACAGTCCAAGGGGGGCCTGCATGGAACTCCTGTTCCATTGGCACACGTTGCAGCCTTGGATGTATGTAATACATTCGTGTTTCATTCCGACCCACTTGTCGGAACGGAGGAGATTAGTGTATGTCTTCCTCCAACCGAAGTGGCCCTCAGTATAGTGGCGTTCCCCTAGGACTAAACTGCGGATTTCCTCAATTGATTGGGACACAAAGCCTATTGTGGACATCAGTCTTTTCGAACAACAAACCCTCGGTCATTCTATAGTCTGGGACTTCATGAGGTGCAGTGTGCACCTTCCTAATTAGGTTGCTGTAGACGGGATCATCTGCATATGCGGCCTCGATATTTTACTGCAGTTTGGTACCAGCATCGAGATAGGTCACTATGGCACCGAAAAAGGTTGCGCGCCTACTTCGCGTGTCAGCAACGACATTATACTTGCCCTTCACGGGCTTCAACTCAAAGTCAAACTGGTCAATCTCCCAGCCCATCTAGTCAACTTAGGTGTCTTCAGGGCCCGGTTCTTTAACCAGCGAACTGTTTCGTGGTCTACTCTGTAATGCTGCAGAGCTTCTCTAAGCACAACCAATCCTCTTTCGTACGTTGAGGCGACAATTTTTTCACTAGCTGGTCTACATGACATGAACTCTATGGGCCTATACGCTTCACCATCGTTTTGTTGCAGTACAACGCCAATACCATACCAACTTGCATCAGTCGTGATGATGAACGGGAGAGACGGGTCGACGATTTTCAAGACCGGCTACTCAATTAAGCACTTTTTGAGTTTCTTGAACGCAGAAGTGCAGTCTTTGTCCTGAGGCCGTATAGTTTCTTTATGCAGCAACTTAGTCAACGGTGCAGCGATGGATGTAAAGTTTTGCACAGACTTCTGGTAATAGTTGGCCAGTCCTAGGAATGAACGTAGTTCCGTAAGCGTATGTGGGGAGCGACATATGCTGGGAACCGGGCTATGTATCCGGGTGTAGCAAACATCTTGCTAAGATAGGTCTGCAGGCTTTTCATGGAGCCCGTCCACTTGCTGTGCTTGATTTTGTCAAGCTGAATTCTTGCCCTTGCTGCAGCATGTGGATCCAGGTACTGTGAAATGAGGAATTCCTCGAAGGAGGCAACCGGGTGGCCTTAAGCCATCTTGTTAGTTGAATTTTAGGAATCCCAACTCGCGTAGCTTGGACCTCTAAGAAGCCCCGCACGACCGGCTCGACATTCATTCCCATGATCACGGATTGGTTCTCATGTTGAGTCCCCAGAATCTCGAAATTCGCGCTCATGGAGCTGATCCAGGATTCGATGTCTTCTTTGCCGTCGTACTTAGACGGTATTTGAACCGCCTTACGATCCACATAGGGACCGACGTAGCTGGGACCAGCACCTGCTGGTTCCAATCTTGGGGCTGCAGCAGTTGCAGAAGTTCCAGCCTCGTTGCTTGTCACAGCAACAGCGGGATCTGCGTCTGTTGCATGTCCCGAGGGGGTTGCCAACACATTCAAGGAAGAAGGTACAGTGAGAGGGGCAGAGGTAGTTTCGATTGCAGCTTCAGATCCAGGGGGTAGAGGAAGAGCGTTGGCCACTTGGGCTCGTCGCAGCTCAGCCACCTCCCTTGTCAATTCTTGGTACTTGCGGGTCATATCAGTCAGATCATCCTGAAGTGTTTGCAACTTTGCGAAGACTTCAGCGATCTGAGTGGTATGATCCTCAAGATTCCTGACTTGAACAAGGGCTGTGAATATGGACTGCAACTGTTCCCCACACTGCTCTCCAGTCAGTGAGGGAACAGTCTCTATGATGGCCACTTGCCTTTTCAGCAAGGTCTCCTTCCTCTCCTTCTCTGCCTCCTGTTCCCTTTTAATTGCACTATCTAAGAGTGCTTGTAGATGTGGTTTTTCGGCATCATTGGTTGAATCCAACTAGGCCCGCCATTGAGCTGAAGTTAGCTGAGCCATTATTGGACCGTTAGTGTCGACAGGTGGGTCAGAGAGTCGCCAGTCAGCAAAATAATCAATTAGACTCTCAACAGGTTTACTCTCCCTCTCAGTTGGACGAACACTCCTTTTCCCAGTCCTTGCCCACTTCAGACAGTCACTTTCCCTCTCTCCCTTTTCTCTCTCCCTCCTCTCTCTCTCTTCTTTCTGGCTGCGAGTCTCCACGGGCATCGGAAATGAACTCGGAGAAACAAACTGAAAAGCTCAAAGAAGAGAAGGTAGAACTCCTATCCGGAGCGGCATTTCATTTGGAAGTAGAGAGCAGCAGATCAAAGAAAGACAAACAAGTTCCAATGAGAGCTCTGATCCAGCGACCCAGTCTGATCAGACTACATACGAGGTCCTCTCGAGTCCAGTCTGACCAGCTCCGTGACCGTTCAGCAAATCAGACAACGAGTGACTAAATGCTACAATGGAGAGTTGAGTGATGTACAGGGTGCGAGTCAAGCCACGGACAGTGCAATCCAAAAAGACATGCGAAACGTCTCAGCCAAGATCCCCTTGGCAGTGGGTGTCCTAATCCAAGAAGAATGAACACCGTATCCCAGCCAAGAAGACAAGAGGTCAATGCCTAACCGATTTGGGTCCAGAGGCTCTTCTTGTTTGGGGGTGGTCCCAGGGGTCCCACGTAGGTCTCAACCAGGTTCCAACCAAGAGGAGTTCCACATGGACTTAGTTCATTCTCTACTGCACGGAAAAACGAAATTTCAACTTCTGGCAGAACCTACAGACTACAACCGGTCAGAGATGAAAAGACAAAGCGTTGTAGAAAGACTCGACATTTAGGTCAAGATACTTCATTTTCCATCCATCAGGTGAGTAGGTAGATCACATGCATTTAGTCACACAATCAAGACCATAGAGGAGTAGGAAAAGAAACCCAGAGTACCCCAGCAGGACAATCAATACCATACACACATACATGGGCATCTCGTAGGTGCACGACACTTACCTGAGTGGCCTTGAGCTTCGAGATGAATAGAACTCACCCCCCCTCTCATGTGGTCCTCCTGACCCCTCTAACACTACCCCTACACTAGCGTCCTATCTCCTAGGAGGGTCTGACTCCAACACCAAAGTGCAACGCCGGATCCCCCGTCGATGCTGAAGATCAAAGTAGCAACTTGCAGTCCGTAGATGCTGAGTGGCCGCTGACCCTCAAGCTCGCCTACTTGAGGGCAGCCCTTAAGTTGCCAAGTGTCTCCCGAATCAGATTCCAGGTGCGAGTGCCTCTCATTGTCGCCTCTCTGCATGAAGTCTCCTCGAAATGTCTCGCCACCCTAACCTCACTCTCAAGCAACCTAGTTAGGTTCTATGTTGACCCCACATGACCTAACCAGGTGGGGGCAGCTTCCCTTAGCCACACTGCCCCACCCCCCTCAACCAACCAACCCTAACCCTAAGTGTTGCCCTCAACCACTTAGGTTAGGGTTAGGGCAGCAAAGTCAACTCTCACCAGCAAGTAGAATCCGCTCCGATACCAATGTTATGACCTTGGCCAATTTCGAGATACACATCCACCGGAAAGTACAATGCCATCCAATTGCAGAAAGAAATGAATGAACTTGAGAGGAGAGAGAGAGGATTAGAAGAAGAAGAAGTAAGAAAGAAGAAGAAGAAGAGGTACACCAGCAAAGACAATGACAAGGCTCTTCTTCTTCGCCCAACAATCTCCTCCTCCTTATCTCCCCCTTCTCTTATTCATACAAGAAATAATAGTACAATGTTGAATGACTGATCCAGAATCAATGTCTGAGTCCCTCTTCTACTGTTGCACTCTCATAGGCCGAGGCTATGGCGGACTACTGGGCTCTGCTCAGATGCCCAAAGGACAACCGAAAGCAGCTATGGCTGCTCTAGCTCAGGCCGCCATGCCTGACCCTGCCCCGAAGCTTCTTGGTGTAGCTCTCCCCAGCTGGGGACTCCCTGCTGCAGCGCCACCAAGGTGATGAAGATGGCTGCCACCATAGCCAGGTAAGTACCCCTGGCGCTCCTCCCCCTTCCTTCCTTCTTCCTCCTTCTTCCTCCCTCGTGTCCTTCTCCTTCCTCCCCAGCAGCGCTGCTCTAGCTTAGCGCTGCTCCAGCCAGCGCTCCACCAGTGTGTCGCCAAACTTGCACACCGAAAAAGAGGCCGGACTCTCCACCCGGCCAGAAGATATAGCGGCCTGCTTTGTGTTGCATACTGTAACGTGCAGACCAGAACAAGAACCGACCTCTCAATACAAAGTATAAGATAGCACAGCGGAAGATACCAATGATCCGAACAATCAATATTGCAATGCAGCCCTGAACATACATCATCATCATCGTTACAGGGTGTGAATGGGGTCTGGCGCTTCACACAGGAAGACTGCGCCAGCCCCTACCATACACAGACGAAGGAGATGGGGGTTAGACAAAGAAGAAGGGCAGATGGGAATGTCGTCAACACCAAGTGTTCAGCACAGGCCCAAATAGTCCCTCGTCGAAATGTCTGAATCCCAAATGTCGAGTCTG